ATTGCTTCTTGTTCTACCCTTAGGTGCCTTGGAAAATAGTTTGACTCCCTCTTCTTTGTGGAAACCCTTGAGATATTGGAACACTGCTATTAAACTAGACATACCCAGTTCCTGCAACCATTCTTCATATGTTTTAGTCTCCAGTCCCCTAATTATCTTTGTTGCTCTTCTCTGCACTCTTTCTAGAGTCTCCACATCTTTTCCACATGGTGGCGACCAAAACTGAATGCAGTATTCCAAGTGTGGCCTTACCAAGGCATTATAAAGTGGTATTAACACCTACCATCACTACAATATTGATATTGCTATTGCTGTTTACTCTCGTTATAATAATATTTGACAGCTTTAAGGATTATGTTTATATTATGCTTTTTTTTAGTTTTGATTTTTCCATTTTATGTTGCTATGGGTCCAAATGAATTGTATTTATATGTATGATAAGTATTGTTCGGAAGCAGAAATTACTTAAAGTTAAGCTGACTTTTTGTTCTATTGCAGGCTAAAGAAATCTTAACAAAAGAATCCAATGTTCAAGAAGTAAGATGTCCAGTAACAGTTTGTGGAGATGTCCATGGACAATTTCATGATCTCATGGAACTTTTCAGAATTGGAGGCAAATCACCAGACACAAATTACTTGTTTATGGGGGACTACGTTGATAGGGGATACTATTCTGTTGAAACAGTAACACTCCTGGTAGCGCTTAAGGTAAGATTGGCATTAGAAATAACAAGCATAGAGAAAATGTTGGGGTTACTTCCAAATATTTTTAACTTTATTATATTGTGTTTATATTCTGAATTACTGTAGGGATTTAATGCTATTGAAAATTCTGCACAAAATAAAAATTGTAAAGGAGAAAATTATGCAATGGAAAATCCAAAGAAACTCCTACATACTAATTAAGATGCTTAGATATGTAGGTAGTCCTCGTCTTACAACAGTTCATTTAGTGACCAAAGTTACAACAGCATTGGGGAAAAAAGACATGACCATTTTTCACACAACTGTTGCAGTATTCCCATAGTCATGTGATCAAAATTCAGATGCTTGGCAACTGACTCGTATTTATGATGGTTGTAGTGTCCTGGAGTCATGTGATCCTGTTTTGTGGCCTTCTAATGAGCAAAGCCAAAAGGAAAACCATATTCATTTAAGAACCATGTTAGTAATTTAACGATTGTAGTGATTCACTTAACAACTGTGGCAAGAAAGATCATAAAATGGGACAAAATTTACTTAACTCGTTTAGCAATAGAAATTGTGGTCATAAGTTGAGGACTACCTGTAGTTAGAAATTCCATGTTTCTTAAGTCTGTATCTTCCTTTCCATAGATGGAAAAGAGATCAAGGACTGATAAGATTGTACTCTATCCCCTCCTTCCTATATATCAGTACTATCAAGCTAAACAAAATGAGATAGGAGGAATACAGATTTTTAAAATTGGGCTTCAAGAGATGTTTAAAAAATTACATTTCCTCCCCACATCTATAAACACTGATTATGATAGTGGAAGATATGTTAATAGAGATAGAGACAAGTCAAGGTAGGGAATGTAAAATGAAAAGCTCTTAATTGCTCTGATTATACTAACTACCTTGTTTTATAGGTCCGTTATCGTGAACGCATCACAATCCTTCGAGGGAACCATGAAAGCAGGCAAATTACCCAAGTATATGGTTTCTATGATGAGTGTTTAAGGAAATACGGAAATGCAAATGTCTGGAAATATTTCACAGATCTTTTTGACTATCTTCCTCTTACTGCTTTGGTGGATGGACAGGTATGTTGAAAATATGAATATTTCTTGTTAATAACAACAAAAATACAAAATAGGGTAAATGTTCCAATACATTTTAATCAGATGTTTTCCTTTTAAAAACATATATAACTTTCAGGAAAAAAAATGTTCAGCTAAATGTAGTTTTTGATAATTAAGAAAAAAGTTACTCTAATGCTAGTTTCAATTTTTTCACAGATTTTCTGTCTACATGGTGGACTCTCTCCATCTATAGATACACTGGATCATATTAGAGCACTTGATCGTCTTCAAGAAGTTCCACATGAGGTAACTTAATGCAATTTGAATTCTGAATTGGGATTAATGTCTAATGGTACTATTTAAATTATTTTTTCTTTTGTAATTTTTATTAACAATTACAATAATAAAAATGAATACAAAAGCAAAAGAAAATGATATAAGAAAAAATAAGATGCAGAAAAGAGAAGAAACTTGAAAAGAAAATAGAAAAGAAAAAAGAGTAGAGAAAGAAAATACAAGGAAGGGACTCCCCCCTCCCCCTTCATCGCAAGTAAAAACAATTTTAGTAACTTACCACTTTCTTTTAAAATACATTAAATTATCTCCTCTAATATATAATATTTTATTTGTAAACAATAAAGCCTTATCAGTTTAATCCTCGTATCAGCAAAAGTCCATTAAAGGTTACCTGAGGATACATATCTATTTCAACCTTGATCAAATAAAGCAACTGCACATTTTTTCCCCATTTACTTTTCACAATCTTTAATTCATTCAGAAAATATCCTAGATTTTTGTTTTCATTTTTTCTTTGTCCCTTCTCACAAAATTCTTCAAAACATTAACAAGCCTCTTTTGTAGATCTAGTATAGAACATTTATCCATTTCACTCTCTTAGTTTATTTGTATATCCTTTTTAATTATTAGAACATAAGTTGGTTTCTTTTGAGTGTCCAGAGTAACATCTATTTCTATGTTATTTTTGGAGGTTGCCATTTTTAAATCCATCTTAAAACCAGTTTCATTCTTGTCAGGTAAAACTTGTTACTCTTCCGTAGTATATTTTAAAGACAGTCAGACTAAAGAGGCAGACAATCTTACAATTAATTTCTAGGCTCACATCCTTAAATGTATCTAATGTTAAGACATTTTTCTTAATTCTGTAATTGTGAGTTGACTTTGACTATTCTTCTCCTTTATAATCTTTAGTTCCCTCTAGTGTCCATTTTTTAAAAGTTTTTTTTAAGAATTCAGAACAAAAGTATTTTTCTGCAGGAAGGTTCTTTATAATTGATTCTCTAACCTTATTTCAAATTTACCTGGAGTATATTTGTAACTTGTAATAAAAGTTTTAATCACCCATTTTGCTGTTTATTCCCCAAAACCTTCCCCATGGAATTCACTTTTTGCAGAACCATCTTCAGTCTGCTATTATTCTCCAGAAGTCTGGAGTCTTCAAATTATTGATGAGTCTAGAGTTGGCAATAATTTCGCATTTCGATTCATTTTAATGCTTTTATTGTTGAGATAATTTAAGTTCCTTCTAGAATTACTTAAGAAAATTGCTGCCTACCGTTTCATCTGATTTTAATGTATTAATTGATTATGGAGTTTATAGAACCCTACTAACAGACACAGAATTTCAATCTAGGACGAAAGACTTAAGTACTGTACAAAAAATCCTGATATGATAATCAGTGTAGTACAAAAGTGGAGAATTTGTTGCACGCTTGCTACTGAATTATCAAGTAAAGAGCAAATTAAGGGATATCCTGAATTGTGGTGCAGCAATATCCGAAAGACAATAATTTCCCCAATCTAGTAGCATAATCTTTCTTTTAATTTTCATAATGATGGATTCAGAATTATGTAGAGTTAAAAGTGAATACCCTGGTTCTAATTTTAAATTCATCAGAATTAGTTAGTTCTCTTTTGCAATGTGTTACAAAATTCTCTGGGTACTATTACCGTACATATGAATCTTGTGATTGCTAGTATTTAGAGATGTGTCCAGTGCTCTTTTATTGAGAAGTGGTATCAGCAGAATAGAATGGTAAATTATTTTAGTAGTCAATTTCTCTTACAAGCCTCATGTTCTCCACTGTTAGTTGAGGGACTTTTCAAAGCAGCCACAACATGGAAAATTAGGTAGAAAATGAGTTGTCATAGTAGGTGATTTTGTGAGTTCTTCTGGTGGAACAAAGATTCCAATGTCTTTTTGAGTGTCTTATTGCGACACTGTCTATAACAATGAAACAGATTCTGAATATGAATAATTTATCATATTTCTGAGAAATCTTCCAGCCTTGATTTGTATATTATGTTATGTTATATTGTTACAGAAGAATGAACTTGACTTTTCTGCCTTGAGTGAGGAAGTATACCAGTTATGTAGTGACTGCCGGTATTGGCAATTTCAACTCAAACTTAGTGTTTATCTAATTTTCACTGTTCTGCATTATATTTTCACCATTCTGAAACAAACTTCTTTCTGTAGATGGCTAGAGTGTTGGGAAGGACACGTTGGGATTTTTTTTCTCCTCAGAAGTCCATTCATTGCCACAATGTCTTATAGTATTGTTGTTTACAAGAATTAGCTTTAGGTGAATTCAGCTGTAGCTGAAAAGTAGCTGTAATTTAATTCCCAAGAATGTCCAGGTGTAGGAAACTTAGCAGTACAGAAATTCTGGATTTCTAGCATCACTGCTAATTGTTACCATTAGCACTGGATAAAAGTGTACTGTTCCTAACATATTTAGCCATTCCAATTGTCATTTTGAAAGTTTCCTTTTGAAGTTTCTATGTTGTATTAGGCATTTTCCATTTTAAAGGCTAAATCATAATGCTGAAATATTTCTTAGGGTCCAATGTGTGATTTGCTGTGGTCAGATCCTGATGATCGGGGTGGCTGGGGTATTTCTCCTCGAGGAGCTGGCTATACTTTTGGACAAGATATTTCAGAAACTTTCAACCATGCTAATGGTCTTACGTTGGTTTCAAGAGCTCATCAGCTGGTAATGGAGGTAAGCTTGTTTTGACCTGCTCTAAACTGTTTTAAGATATTTAAAACAAACACAGATCATACCTTGATATATTTTAATACAGTATATGTATATATATAATATAGTTTATTAATATAACTACAGTTTATATGGCTAATATTATTTTATTAAAATTACGTATTTTCTTTTTTCAGGGATACAACTGGTGTCATGATCGGAATGTAGTAACAATTTTTAGTGCTCCAAATTATTGTTACCGTTGTGGTAACCAAGCTGCAATTATGGAGCTCGATGATACTTTAAAATACTCATTGTAAGTATTTTAAAAATATTTATATGAGAATGTTCAAAGCGCATTATTTATACCTCCTAGTTAAAAGTTTGACACACACACACACAATCACGTGTGCTTGAAATAAATATGCACTGTTGCTTGATCTGGTCTTTCTAGGTATTTCAGAAGAGATTATTTGTGGAATAGCCAATTTATTTTAAATTTGCATAGCTTTAAAATTTAAAACATTTTTGTTTGGATATTTCAGGGTGTTGTATTTATTGATTCATGAATTACTATAAAACCTAACAGCAATCCTTAAAATTATTTTTCTGGATGAGTTCTTTCAAGTTTAAGCTCTAAGTTATGTTAAGAAGCACTTGCTTTTGTTATATTAATACTATGTGTGTTAAAGAATCTTTTTACTTCTATGATTCACACAATTAGGTTAAATTCCTTTTTGTATAAACACAGTGAATGACAAGACATTAATTTTGTGCCTGAATAGAGCTTCCTTTGGAATTTGTTTTCTCCCCAAATGGCTCCTGCCATTTACTTTGCCACACTTAGCAGCGTTATAAGGAAGCTTGTCTGTCCTTCTGAAGAAATTGTTCTGAAGTGTTCTTTGAAATTTCAAACAGTATTAAGTTTATTATAGATTATTTAAAAACATTAATAGACCAACAAATTTGAATTCTCTCTTCCAGTTTGCAGTTTGATCCGGCACCACGCAGAGGTGAACCACATGTTACTCGTCGCACCCCAGACTACTTTCTGTAATGAGATTTTCCACTTGTACAGTATTGCCATGAACCATGTGTTGACCTAAAGGAACATGGGAAGAGCAACAGTAACTCCAAAGTGTCAGAAAACATTTAACATTGAAATCTGTTTTCACATGGACCAAAAGATGTGCCATATTGAAATTCAAAGCCTCTTGTCTGTCAGCGACTGTGACCACTTTAGAATGAACCAGTTCATTGCATGCTTGAAGCAACATTGTTGGTCAAGAAATCAGTTTCTGGCATAGTTCTACTTGTAGTTACTTTTGCTTTCTCTGAGAGACTGCAAATATTAATACGTAGACATTTAACACTTCGTGAATTACAAGTAACTTTCCATTTAGCTTTAGCTTTCCAGCATGATTGTAGATAAGAATAGCAAATTATCATTGAAGCTTAATGAACATTTTAAATAAGCACCAAGACTGACTTTTCTTATTTGTGTTCTTATTGTTTTTTAGAGAAACAATTTAATTTAATTGTATTATTGTTTCATCTGAACTCTGTTCCCACTCCCATTTGTTTCTCTCACACATTTCCTCTACAAAGTGTCCCATGTATGTGTTCATCATAGTGAATTACTTTGAAAGAACAATTTATTTCTGTAAGTTGTTGCTGCAGGAGCGTGTTGCAGCATTTTTCATAATAAACTTGTGAACTAAGTTTGGAAGATGGTTGACTTTAAACTGTATTGCAAGCACATATCATCATGTATTTAATAAAAAAAGTAGCTTTTATGTCTCTTTGAACCTTTGAAGGACCCAAACAAGACTGAGTCACAAACAAGCTGTTTTCAGGAAACATATTACAATATATAAAAATCGAAATCTAAGGATCAGATTTTGTAATCTGTGATATACTAGGCAAATAATTACTGCCATAATTGTTAGCATTTTTTAAATACTTAGAAAGCTATTCTGCAAAACAGATATTCTGACATTTAATTCTACTGTATATTTAAAGTGAAAAAGTCTCGATTGTGAAGTCAAACTTCACTTAAGTATGGTCTTAAAAATTATATATCCTCAATGTTCCTGATGAGATCTACTTTTTTGCTATAATTGTAAACAAAAACAAAAAAGAATGTGAGGCTACTGCTTCTGTGCTATTGAATGAAGAATGGGAAGGAACTGGTGAGAGATCATAAATCAATTTCTGTACCCATTCTTAGTAGCAGTGTCTCATACACATTACCCTCTTATGCCCAATTCACTTTCCTTTGGTTTGAGCAGAAGGCAGTGAATAAGTTATAGACTAAATACTCCAAAAACATGCTGAATATATTCTGATCACAGAACTTGGGATATTTAAATAGCTAGGAAAAAATGAGCCTATTATAATGGAAGTTAAATTCTTACTTGTAATTGTTGGTATCACATTTGTTGAATGATGATGAAAATAGTGTAACAATGGGGATATACCAACAAGCCACTTGTAACTTGATTGTCTCAAATGTGAAAATCAAAACATGTATTAACAGTGATTTCCTCTTACTTTGTAACTAGTGTTTTTACTTACCATTCAATAAAGTAGTAACAGAATAATGAAGTTGGGAGAAAAGTCCTTATGTGCACAGGGCATGTTAAAGTGTTGTGCATACTTTGTGATTCTTGAAACTTTTTCATGGAATGAAGTGGGCTGATACCTTCAATTTCAAGTAGTGGGCCTTTTGCATCAAGGGTTGCTGCTCAGAAGCAGGGAAAATTGGTTCTGTAATTCCCAGCCAAGGTATTTTTTAACTCTACATATAAATCTCTCTCTATATATATAGAGAGAGAGAAAGAGAGATTTTCAGTTTCCTGAAAAACTTCGAAAATTGAGATTTTTTTCTAAGATACGTAGTTACAAAAAACCAAAAAAGGAACAAGTATAAAGAAATACTACTGGCACTGTTATTGCTCTTTATTTCCCCCTAGTGTCAGTTTACCAGAATATTCATTTTAATAGAAATTAAAATAACTCCAAATATAGACAGAATAGAAATTTAACTCCAAATATTTTTTTAAAAAAACCCACACCTTTAAATAGAAATTTGATGCCAGCTAAAACATCCACTGGTTTTTTTTTAAAAAGGTAAGTAATAAGCTAAAAGTAGCCAACTTTTTCTGTTAATTAGCCAGTTAAAACACCAGTTTTCTTGTACTGTTTTTACTGAATAATACACTGCAGCTTCGTTTTGCAGACATTTTCTAAGCAAGTTACTGTCCTTGGTTAAATATGATTTCTGGAAGTGAAAGAAAGCTGAAATTGTTCTTTTGAAAAAGAAATGGCCTGTTGACGGGTCTTACGAGCTTTATGCAGAAAAATTGTTCAGCTGAAAAAGCAGATAGTAAATGTTTAGAATAACTTGAACATAATAAAATATGGACTATTTTTATAATTTTATGTTAACATACTAATATGAAAACATACGACATACGTAGTCACATCACAAATCAGTGGACACTTGTGGTATTTAATAAACCTGACAAGTTGATTTTGATCTATGAAAGTTCATGTTAGCTGCTAGCCTTTAACATGTTTTAATACTCTTAAGAGTTAACGTGTTTGAAAATCATATAATTAGAATGGCTGGCCAAGGGAAATCATAGTTAAATCCCTTTTTGGGGGGCAAGGGGTACTTGGCCAACTTTAGCTTATCTAGAAAGCTAATTAGGAAACATCTGTGAAATACAGATGTTTTCCAGGAAAAACTCATACTAATAAGAATGCACGGAGATATGAATATAAATTGTTGAGCTCATGCTTGGTTCAAAGGCAATTTTACTTACAAGTAATCCTTGTTTAGTGACCAATAACTCAGTTAAGTGGTTGCTGAGTGAAATTAGGACTGGTTTTGGTCTCACTTAAACTTCTCTGCTTTATAGGCCCGAGGTGATCATAAATGCAAGGATTGATTGCAAAGTTACCTTTTATCATAAATGCAAAGAGTTGCTAAACAAGAACTACCTATACCTGGGATGGCGAGGGCACGCGAGGCGTTTCCCTGTCAGCTGGCCAGTGCATGCATGTGCAGCTGAGTTCAGCCTTTTTAAAGCAATTTTTCACCCTCCCCAGGCTCCAGAGGCTTTATAGGAGCCTGGGGAGGGCTTAAACAGCCTCCCTCCCCCAGAGGCCCTCTGGAAGCTTCAGGAGCTTCCCTGAAACCTCCGGAATGCAAAAAACCAGCCCTACGGCAAACTGGAAGTTTAGGAACGGACTTCTGGTTTGCTAGTAGGGCTGTTTTTAGTCCTCCGGAGCCTTGAGGGAAGTCACCTGAAGGCTCCGGAGGGCCTGGGGGGGGGGCTGTTTTTACCATCCCCAGGCTCCTATAAAGCCTCTAGAGCCTGGGAAGGGTGAAAAAAGCATGCAAAAAAAAGGGGGGGGAAGCACCTGTCATGCATGCATGCGCACTGTGTGTTGCACATTGCATTATGGGTGTGGCACGTCTGTGCACAACCTGCACACACACACCCCCTCCCGCTTATGGCAAGCGAGCCAAAAAAGGGTCACCATCGCTGACCCATACTATACTAGATGGTACTGGTGATGGAGGAATTGGATGTTTTCATCAATGTCTGGGCTAAGTAGTTCACTGTGGCTGACAGTGATTTCTTGTACTGGATTTACAATACCTCTAGATCAACCTGGACTTATCTTTTTGCAGCAGTTCATTCCGTATGCCTAAGAGGAAATTTAATGCTTGAAGATTGAACACTCCAGTTCTACAAATATTAGAAGGTGGTGTTTGAAGACACTAATATGCATTATATCAAGTACCCGAGGTGAGACTTTGCAGCTTGTAACAAAAAAGGCTTTGCTGTTGAATGACTAATGCATAAATGTGAGAGGGAGTAGCAAGTAAGGATATAAATTGTAGTATTGCTGTGATATCAAACATGACATTCATTTGAGATAGCTTAGGATGCTTTGGCAGTAGTTTTTGCCTAAGTTTATTTACACTTTGGTTTAAGTGACAGAGACATTGAATTCCAAACACTGGCTTACTGTTAGATGTGATCTGCTCTTTCCTATCTGGAAATAGTTTTTCAGGAGATCCTTCTCTCAAGATATTTATTGGGGGTAGGGGTGGGGGTGGAGAGGGAGGAGGAGAAAACATAATGTACTATTTTAAATTTTATTGTGCCAGAGGAGTATATGAGGTGCTGCCTATTATATAAGAAGGCCCTTTTCCAGGGCTTCCTCTTTTCAAAAATTGGAACATCTATGCAATTGATTACTATTTTGGGTGGGCAGAGGAGGGTGACTAACCAATGAATCAATTATGTATTCTTGCTAAATAAACAACTTGAATAATTCTCCTACCTGGGTAATGGCAACTAACATCTTACCTGAAGATATAAAGCACGTGCTAACGTTAGGATGAAGAAGTAGCTTCTTACCAATGATATGTGAAAAACAGACCAATTCATTTAATGATAATCCAAGGGTACGTTGAAACGCCTGATGCATTTGTGAATACACACATATGATTAACCTTCTTGTGCCATATCCATCGTCGGATATTGGCGATCATGTCGGCAATTCTATTTTTGTCAGCTGCATGAAAAAGTGCTGCCGAGCTTTGTCCAAACGAGTCCCTTAAGTTTTGAAGCCATGATGTTCTTCTTCTGCCTGGACCTCTTTTGCCTTCAATTTTTCCATGGAGAGTACGGTAAGTGAAGTATGCCATATTTTTATAGATGCTGCATCACATGTCCAAAATATTCTTTCGCTTTTTAATGATTTCCCTTTGCTTTTACACACACACACACACACACACACACACACAGAGCTGGATTCTCTCTTTCTCTCTTACTCACACACACACACACACACTCACTAATAACCAGAAGGAGCTGGAGTCACACGCACACACACCATCCAGGATGATGAGACATGCATCTCGTAGCCATCCAACTGCAACGGAAAATAAAAAAAATAATAATTATGTCGCTCAGAATAAACGAGAAACTGTCCTTCCCATTATGACGTAACACCGTCGCCATCATTATGAGGCAGCCTCGATCACGAGCGAGCTCGTAGCGGGCAGCCTCCAATTTTGCCTGAAGGACCCCGAGGTACTTAATATCTAAATACGTTTAAGGGTCTCCTCCTCCTTTTTTATACGAACTAGGTTATTCCCCTCAAGGCCCTTCCGCAATCCCTCCACGATGAAGCCGGGGGATCCACCCCTGCTGAGTCCACCGGCGCAGGCACTCAGGGGACATACCCATCCCCGGGAGTGGAAGGGGGCGGGGACAAACGCTTGGGCCCTCGGCTCGGGTCCGCCCCGCCCCAATTCTATAAAATGCAGCGGCCGCCAGGCGCTCCAGTGCGCCCTTAATTTGAGTTGGGTGGTGTGTCTTGCGGGGGAGAGGCTAAAAGGCGCCACCGTTGCCGCCGCTTACCGTTGCCGCCGCCGCTGCTGTTGTTCTGCCTCACGGTGAGTGAGGCCGAGGCCTGGTTGAGGTTCGGGCCTCCTCAGCGGATGGTGAGGGGCGAGAACAAAGTTAGGAGGAGGCTTGTGAGGGCCGCGGAGGAGGAGGACAGGGATGGCGGCTTGAGAACCTATCGCAGGTGGTTGCTAAGGGGGCGGCTTCTCCCCCCGGGAAAGGGGTGCGGAGACGCGCAGCCGAAGGGCCGCCTCCGCCATCTCTCCCAGCAGCCCGGCTCGTCCTGGAGAGGGAGAAGGGAGGGAAGGTGACCGACCCCAGAAATCCGCACTCCTTTTACAGTTGTTCGCCTCCCGAGCCAGTGGGAACATTTTCCCATCCTGTTTCCCTCCTCTTCTATTGAAGGAAATAACGTTTTTTATTTATTTATTAAAAATAAGAGTCGATGCTATGTGCTTTGTTTCTTGACGGCGTCTGTAATTTGCAAACGGTGCATACTTCAGAGGAGAGAGAGTGTTTTGCTGGAGCGAGCAAGAAATACAATATAGTGAGTGAAATGAAGGGTATAGGGCTGACGTAGCAGCCGGGCACTTTACCTTCACTTGTTTTATGCAGAGGCTTTTTATGTACCCTAAATGCTTAGTCACGATTGCCGTTTAACCCGAAGCTGCTTATAAGAAGCTTTTCCTTTAAACAATCTGGCGAGGTTTAAGCGCATTTGGAAAAAAAAAAGTAACAATGATAATGGACTGAATCCAAGCCTAGCCTTAGGATTTAATGATGTCCTAAATCATGGGATTTAAATGATGATTAAAGTGTCCATTCAATTTAATGGATCTGTTTGCCGAATAAACAGATTCATTGCTACACAGTTAAAATGTTTATAACTGTTAACTCTTTAACATTACAAGTATATTACATTTATTAAAATGCTTATCGATTTTAATGGAACTTTATGAAAAATACCACAAAACTCTTAATAGTTGTGCCCTGAGCGCTCCAAAATACTATGCAACATTTATGAATACTAAGCTTTTGTTTTAAGAGGTCACAGTAGTTGAAATCAAGAATTTTGCTTAACCTCATCCAGTGGATTATGTACGATTTGGATACTACTTCAACAGTTCTGAGAATTTTTATATACTTAAGTGATTTCTGGTTCCATACCTTGAAAAATAATTTGGGTTCCTCTTAAAAATACTCAATACTGGTTATGTAGCTCATTTCATGATACCTGATCAATTCCCAATACAGAACAGTAGTTTTCCAAGTAGTGAAGAACGATGGTGTACAGGTAGTTTGTTGAAAGTGTAATATTTTCAAAAGTTGCTTGGTAAATAGCTCACATGATTGGAATTAGGTCATTGACCATGAATCATGTCAAAATGCCCAAATAGTTATCTCATTCTATAAAATGAATGTCTGCTTTTGAAGCAAGGTACAAGCATATGCAATACACTGCCTTAGATATAAGTCAGATTTAAAATTTTAAGTAATTTTAGTCATACATTTTTATTTGTCATGTGCAGTAGGTTAGATTGGAAAGTAAAGTTTTGGACACTAAAAATTTAAAAAAATTAAATAAGCTTCTTGAAATGCTTAATCAAAACATGTATTTTAGTCTTATGCACTAATATTCCATAATAAAGATTACTTTTAAGGAGGCAAAACTGCAAATATAATCTGAGTTGTAATCTGATCAGCTCCCTTTTTAGCCATTAATTTTAAGCAAACTTATTTGGCAAGTGATATATCTTTATTGACCACATTATGATGATGCAGGAATGGATGAAATTGAGCATTGTAAAACAAAAAATTAAATTTCTTTGTTTACTGTCTTTTTTTAATAGGAGATGCTAATGAAACTACATAACTGAAATGTCATACATAAAAATACTGGTAAAATATTTTTTTTCATTCATTTACAGATGCCTTCAATTAAACTACAGAGCTCTGATGGAGAAATATTTGAAGTTGATGTTGAAATTGCAAAACAGTCTGTAACAATCAAGACTATGCTGGAAGGTATGAACATCATAAAAGATAAATGCTTTCTGTATTTCTGTTTTTCTACACACACACACACACACACACACACACACACACACACACACACACACACA